TGTGTCTGTGTCTGTGTGTGTGTCTGTGTGTGTGTCTGTGTGTCTGTGTGTGTGTCTGTGTGTCTGTGTGTCTGTGTGTGTCTGTGTGTGTGTGTGTCTGTGTGTCTGTGTGTGTCTGTGTGGGTGTCTGTGTGGGTGTCTGTGTGGGTGTGTCTGTGTGGGTGTGTCTGTGTGGGTGTCTGTGTCTGTCTCTACCTTGTTTCAAGCCTGGATCCAAATACAGCAATGCAAAGAAAAGGATAATATACAGGTCAAAACCAAGGGCAAAAGATCTGGGTTCTAATTTAGATTTCATCATTTAACAGCACTAGCATGGAGCCCTATGACCTTGGGCAATCTACTTACTCTAAGCCTGTTTTTCTCATCTGTAAAATAGGATTAAAGGCAGTACTTGAAATTTGCGAGACACATTCACTCTCCTATCAGATCCTCCTCGGAACCTTATGAGATGACCTTTGATGGCTCAGCCATGTGTACGGTTTGACTCCGGGCTACTTCATTTCCCTCTCCGGGTCTCAAATGTCCCAAAGGATTGCGGGAGAGAGAAACAAGGCTCGCCGGTCCTATTTTGGGGAAAAGGCCACAGAGGCTCTGAAAGCCGCAGCACCCAGCCCAAGGTCGCCCAATGGGGTCCACAGCGCGGCCCTCGAGAGCAAGACTTACCCAGAGGAGCGTGCAGGCCACGCGGCTCACATTCCCGAAGGCGCTCGGCCCGTGGGCTCGGTGAGGGGTCTGGCCCGCGCACTCGCGCTCCCCTCCGTCGGCGAGACGCGGCTCCAGTCGTGACAGCGGCAACAAGGAAGTGGAGGCGAGGGCTCGTGCGCGCATCCCGGGGGCTGGAGGAGCCCCGGCCCCGCGTCCCCGCCCGGTGACACACGGCGCGGAGTCGCGACAGCCCCTCTCGCTCACCGCCTGCGAAGTCGCGATATGGGGTCGTAGAGAGTGGGTGGAGGAGCACAGGTTCGTCCTGCAGGCCCTTCACCGACGCCTGCCGAGGGCCCCGCGGGGCAAACCCCGGGGAGCCCGAGGAAGACAGCAGGGACACGGGAGTCGCCGCAGCACCGGTTCAGCAGCGGCAGCGGTGGCAGCAATAGCACACCTTGAATCGCCAGGGAGACCCGTCCCGGCGGCCTTTGCGGCGCACCGGAAGCGTCTGGCGGCGCGTGACTGCGTGTGACCCCCCCCCCCGCGCAAGCGCAACAGCCCAGCCTTAGCCGGGAGGCGGGCCCATAGGAACTGTTTAGAGGCGTTCGCTGAGGCGGACGGACCGCTTCCGGCCAGAGGTCCCGGGCGGAGGAGGAAGCTGTAGTTGCTGGCGGTTGCCCCCGGTTGCTCAGTCCCTGGTTGCTCAGTCCCGGGCACAGTCGTGGGGCATTCAGGTAACAAGGGCGGGGCTACGCCGAGCGTGAGGGATCGTGGCTCCGCCTCACCTCTCAGAGCCACGTTGGGCCCTGGGGAACCCCCAACAGCATCCTGTTTTCAGTACGGCGTTCATTGCCTGACCCCATCCCTCTTCAGTCTGTCCCCGTTCATTCAGATAAGGTTTCGTATTTCCTAACGCAGCATCAAGCCTCCCTCCTCATCCCGGTGATCTGCACTCAATCAGTTTCTCCCACCGTCCCACAAATAGTAATGACAGCGAGTTCCTGGAGTGATTCAAGCCGAACTAAATTACCGTGTGGAGAGGCTCCGGGAATCTGATAGGGGTTGTATGGTTCTTTCCCGCTGATGTCACAAATTGTTCCACACTGATAACACGTTCCTGCACGAACCTCTATCTTACAAACGTATTATCGATCTGCATACTACTCTCAGTCTACCGCTATACCTTGCCTTCTAGCCACCATCTCCTGCCTAGACAGATGGCAGTTCGTCCTGCCTCCACTCTTGTCCCTCTAAATCTGTTCTCCGCACAGCACCCAGATTGAGCCTTTTGAACTTTAAGTCTGATCATGTCACTCTCTTGCATAAAACCTTCCAGTGTTTTCTCCTTCACTTGGAATAAAATTCAAATTTCTCAGATTGACCTCCAAGACTGATTGGGCTTTTGCCTCTTTGTCTTTCCACATGTCTTCATAATACTGGTAGCACTCTATGGTGTTCAGAACACTGGCTTTGTTGTGAGCCTCCTTGGGTTTGAATCCCAGCCCTGCCACATGTAAACTGTATTAAGCATGCAAAGTGCTCAGCAAGTTATGTTTACTCAGTGACTGGTTTCTATCTCAGTAAGTACACCACCATCCACTGGGGTGCTCAATGCTCAAGTCGGAAATCAGTCCTCCTGCACCTCACATCAAGTCCATAAACAAGACCTGCAAAAACATAGCTCAGAAATGACTACCCCTCCCCAATAACAATAGGCCTTTGGAGGTCTTGAATTCTCTCTCATCTGAACTGCTTTTTCTCTGACACTCTTCAATTCAATTCCATTCTATACACAGCACTCTTTTTTCTCCTTGCTTAAAATCCTTCAGTAGCTTCTTATTGCACTCAAATTAACATTCAAACTGTATGTGGCCTACTAAGGCTAGCCTGCTTTTATTTTCAGATTTAGGGCCATCTTTTAGGAGAATGGACTTCATCCATTAGGTTCTCCACCCTGCAACCAAAGGACTCTTAGTGTAAATCTGATCGTGTCATTCCTTAAAAAAGAAACAAACAAACAAACAAAAAAAAAAAACCCTCCAAAGGCCTATTATTGCCCCTAGGATCAAGCTAGAATCCTTACTAGGCCATTCTGTGATCTGGCCCTTGCTTTTTTCCCCAAAACTTATTTTTTTCTTGACCATGCCATTTTATTTTCTATAGTGCTTCATTACCTTTACACGTATTTCCTTCAATCTCATGAATTCCTGTTTATTCTTTAAGTGTACTCCCCACCCACTACTCACCCCAGTTGATCGCTCCCACTTTTGTGTTCTCTATTATAGTACTTCACACACTATTATAGTACTTCACACTCTAGTGTTTGTCTTTCCTGTCTAGATAGTCAAGATGGTAAGCTCCTCGAGGGTGGGCGTTATGCTCCGTTCATCTCTGTATGGCTGGCATCAAGGACAGTACTTGGCACACAGAGGATGGCATGAACGGGTGTGTATTTGTGTGGAAGTGGTGGTAGAAGCCTGCCCTCAGGAAGACATTATCATAGCACCCATTCTGGTCCTTTGAGGGCTCTCATGATAAAAGGTCTAAGCAGCAAATTACCACTGCTGGATCCTGTTTTACTTGGCCAGCCTTAATTGCTTGAAATTCTGAATACCTCTAGGTAGGGCACACAGACCACAATACTCTCCATTAATACCTTATCCCCATATCACTCACTTATGCTACCTTCCTGGTCCCTAAAGGCATTTGAGTTTGGAGCATCTGATCTAGTATCCAGTATTTCAACCTGGAAGGGACCTTAGGGATCATCTGGTCCTGTGGTTTGCAACCATGGAGCATATCAGAATCACTCTGGGAGCTTTTAAAAAATAATATCCTTTCATAGAGATTTTCTATGAGATTCAGTAGGTCCAAGGTGAGGCCTGGATATGAGATTCTAATATGCCCTCCCTGGTTGAGTCCAATATCTTCATTTCAAAATGGAAAACAGGCCCAGAGAGGGACTGTAACCTGCCTATCACTTTTGCCATCATCCCTCATCTAAATTATCAGCAACAGCATCCTAATATCCTAATTGGTCTCTTTGCCTCCTTGATCTATTTTCCATAAAACATTTTAAAATGTAAAGCAGATCATGACCCTCCCTCGCTTAAAAATCTTCAGTGGATTTCTGTTGCACTTAGAATAAAATATCAACTTCTTGTCGTAGCATCTTTGAATGGTCTGAGTCTCCACCCTTGTCATACACTTGGGGTCATGTGAGTCTTTCAGGTCAGCACCTCAATCTCTTTTCCAGCCTTTGAGGTTTGCTGATGCTGTGTCGTTTGCTGAACTGCCCTTTGCCCCTACTCTTCACAGAGGTTTCAGCTTAAATGCCATCTTCTCAGTGACACCACACTTGGCCACTCTGTATAAGTAGATCTTCCACTTTTATTCTTTATCATAGTGTTTGTTTATTTTCTTCATAGCACATAGCACATGCTGTAATTATCTGAATTATCTGTTGACTTGTTTATCTCCCCACCACATTCTGTAGTTCATAAGGGCAGGGACCTTGTGCATCACTGTATTCTTTACAGCTTGGCCCTATAAGTAATCATTAAATGAACGTGTGACTACTAGAAACATTTTCCCACAATGGAAATCTTTCCAAACTAGATGGTGATAGTTTTGAAGTTCTCATTTTGGTGTGGAATTTCAAGCAGGACCATGGGATGGCAGAAATAGCACTAATCTGAGTCAAGATATATGAGCTACGGGAACCTGTAGGCCTCTTCGCTGAGCCTCAGTTTCTATATCCATAAAGTGAGGTGGATAATAACTCCTTGGATTTATACGGCGCATTGCTGTTTGCAAAGCTCTTTCACCATCTGTCAACATCAGCCTATTCTCATAGTAGACAGAGAGCAGACATTGCTATTCCCATTTTTATGGAGGCTCAGAGCTTAAATTAGATTATCTGTAAGATCACTTCTATTTCAAACATTCTGTGAGTCTATATAATTAGTTTGTATGAAAAGTCAGTAGCATGAATCCTATTTTCTCTTGATTATGGACTTTTATTATCATTTTTCTAGTAGAGTTTTTTAAAACTCTGAACTTATTTTTTTAAGGGGAATCTGTTATTTTTGGTTCCTGATAGGTACTTTGTTTTGTCTTCTCAGTTTTTCACACTTGTGGCAAAACAAGCCAGGAGGAGGAACGGACACAGCCCTGTTAGTTGTGGCCCCGGCCTTCCACCACAGATATGGCAGACAAAGGGAACAAGAAACGCCGGCAGTTCTCCCTGGAGGAGAAAATGAAAGTTGTGGAAGCTGTAGACTCGGGCAGGAGGAAAGGTGATGTGGCAAAAGAATTTGGTATCACTCCTTCTACTTTGTCTACATTCTTAAAGGATCGCACCAAATTTGAAGAAAAGGTGCGGGAGGCATCTGTGGGACCCCAGCGGAAAAGGATGAGGAATGCACTCTATGACGACATTGATAAGGCTGTTTTTGCTTGGTTTCAAGAAATCCATGCCAAAAACATTCTCGTGACTGGTTCTGTCATTCGGAAAAAAGCACTAAACCTGGCCAACATGCTTGGCTATGACAGTTTTCAAGCAAGTGTGGGCTGGCTGAACAGATTTAGGGATCGCCACGGAATTACTTTGAAAGCAGTCTGTAGAGACAATAGTGACAGGTTAATGAATGGTCTAGGAATAGATAAGGTTAATGAGTGGCATGCAGGGGAAATTATAAAACTAATTGCTGACTACAGGCCAGATGATATCTTTAATGCTGACGAGACAGGAGTGTTTTTCCAGTTGCTTCCCCAGCACACACTTGCTGCTAAAGGGGACTGTTGTAAAGGGGGCAAGAAAGCAAAGCAGCGGTTGACAGCACTCTTTTGTTGCAATGCTTCAGGGACTGAAAAAATGAGACCATTGATTGTTGGTAGGTCAGCCAGCCCACGCTGCCTCAGGAACATCCATTCCCTCCCTTGTGATTACCGAGCCAACCAGTGGGCATGGATGACGCAGGATCTATTTAATGAGTGGCTGATGCAAGTGGATGCCAGGATGAAGCAGGCAGAACGCCGGATCCTCCTGCTTATTGACAACTGCTCTGCTCACAACATGCTTCCACGTTTGGAAAGGATCCAGGTGGGGTATCTGCCCTCAAACTGTACTGCCGTCCTGCAGCCCCTGAATCTTGGTATAATTCACACCATAAAAGTGCTGTACAGGAGCCACCTTCTAAAGCATATCCTCCTTCAGCTCAGCAGCAGTCAGGATCAGGAAAAGGTGGACATTAAGCAGGCCATGGACATGATTGCTGCAGCATGGTGGTCAGTCAAGCAGTCCACAGTGGTGAAATGCTGGCAGAGGGCAGGCATCATCTCTATGGAATGTACAGATTCTGATGTAGAAGAAGCAGCCAACGAACCAGACATTGTCATTGAAAAGTTGTGGCACTCGGTGGCTATTGCCACCTGTGTCCCAAATGAAGTACATTTCCAGGACTTTGTCACTGCAGATGATGATCTCATCATCTCCCAGGAGCTGATGGACACAGAGGTCATCCAGGGCATGGTGTCTGGTGAAAACACTGATGAAGCTGGAAGTGAAGATGAGGGGGAGGTCTCTTTACCAGAGCAGCCAAAAATCACCATCACAGAGGCCATCACAAGTGTACAGAAACTTAGACAGTTCATTTCCACTTGTGTAGGCGTTCCTGATGCAGTTTTTGGACAGCTAAATGGCATAGACGAATATTTAATGAGAAGAGTAACACAAACTCTTGCGGATTCCAAAATTACAGATTTTCTCCAAACAAAATAATGTAGGAATTAACTGCCTCTTTTACTTTAGAATTTGTAGTTTATAAGAATAAGGATTTCTTTAGGTAGGATATTGAACTTAAATTTTAAGCAATATTATTATGACAGCATTCCAGTCTCTTACCCGTTGCCATCGAGTTGATTCTGACTCATAGCAACCCTATAGGACAAGGTAGAACTGCCCCATAGGGTTTTCAAGGAGTGGCTGGTGAATTGGAACTGCCGACGTTTTGGTTAGCAGCCGAGCTCTTAACCACTGCACCACCAGAGCTCCACATTCCAGTACTCTGAAATCAGGAAACACCCTTGAGTGGAATTTGGAAGTGGAATTTCACTAATACCTGTGTTCTCATTTGAATAACCCAGTGGTTCCCAAACTTGTTTGCACATTAGAATCGCTTGACTAGGCCATATCCTAGTCCCGATTAAATCACAATCATCTCTGAGAATGACACACAGGCATTAGTAGTTTTTGAAGCTCCCCGGGTGATTCAAATGTGCAGACAAGTTTGAAAACTTCTGGAGAAGTCACAGGAAAGTCAAGCACTCCTATGGGCCTGGAGCCAACTTCTTCTCAATAGAGTTAATTACAGGGGTTTTCAAATTTTAGCAAACATCGGAATCACTTGGAGGGCTTGTTAAAACCCAGATTGCTAGCCCCCCCCTCCAAAGTTTCTAGCTGGATTCTAGTACTTCTCTCTTCAGCTAGCCATTTGAGTCCTCTCCATCACTAACTAATTGTAAAAAAAAAAAAAAAAGGCTAACGATCAGCTGTTCTTCCTCTCAAATCAGCTGTTAACTCCTTTCTGCTGATTTGGTAACTCTAGAACCTTCTTAGCTACTCTCTTGAATAATTTCAGATAGTCAGGTGTTCAGTAGAGGTACATCTGTCTTGCCCAAGCAGTTAACAGGTGCCATCTAGCCTATTAAAACATCCTATAATGCTTCAAGGAGCCCTGGTGGCACAGTTGCTGAGAGCTTGGCTGCTAAGCAAAAGGTCGGCAGTTCGAATCCACCAGCCACTCCTTGGAGACCCTATGGAGCAGTTCTACTCTGCCCTATAGGGTTGCTATGAGTCAGAATTGACTTGATGGCAATGGGTTTGGGTTTTTTTTTGGCTTATAGTGCTTCAGGTTTATTATTAATAGGGAGCTGGGGTACAGGGAAATAAAGTGCATTAAAAAAGAGACATGAATAAGATCTGGAAGGCAGGGTATGATAACAGAATCCTGTTAATCAGGATCATGGTAGAAAACACGTAGACCAGTGTGTCTCTCACTTTCCAGACAAGGTAAAGGAAAGTTCATAAGAGAGAAGACGTGTGTTTGGATTGTTCGTAATTTGGATCATTCATACCGCTTCCCTCCATACCTCAGGATAACCCAGCCAGTACCATGTAATCAAGATTAAGGCACACTACATTTCCCTCCACTAAAATGACTTAGAGTCCCTGAGTGGCACAAGTGGTTAAGTACTCAACTACTAGCCTAAAGGTTGGCAGTTAGAACCCGCACAGAGACACCTCAGAAGACAGGCCTGGTGATCTACTTCCAAAAGATGACAGCCTTGAAAACCTATGGAGCACGATTGTACTCTGCGACACATGGAGTCGCCATAAGTCAGAGTTGACTTGAGGGCAACTAACAACAACAGAATGATGTAAAAAATCACCTTTTTTCCTGTATGAAGAACACCTTTCTTCCCCCCTCCCCGTGTAAAGAACACTTCAGAGAAATCGAGAGCAGATCTGATTTTAAGTTATGTTAAAACTGTATAAACGTCTAATCAGACTTATATTAAACAGTTTTCCCTAAAGAAAAGGCATTCTTAATATCCTTTATAATCCCAGTATTTATTCCCAGTAAGTCAGATGTCAGTTTCATTTCTAGAAGATACCTAGGATACCTGTTAATGTAGTGTAGGGTTTTGTTGGTTTTTTTTCCTCCTTCAGGGTAATTTTGTGGATATTTCAGAAATCCATAGCAATTCTGTTATTTTTCTTTAGTTACTTAATTGAAACAGATTATAAAGCAGATTAATCATGGAAAGTACTGTTTCCATGTTGAACAAGAAACAACAGATGTTTAAATAGATCATTAAAAAGTTTATTTTGGATATTTTTCCTTTTAACGGATTAAATGTACTGTATGTACTTTATATTCTTAACACTTAGGGCAACTTGTCTTCTGGCTAAGTCCTGTGGTTTTGTCTCATTGCCAACACCTTAATCAATGATCTCAGCACCATCTCGTGTCAGGATTACTGACATAATTTCTAATTTCTTCCTTCACCTTTCTCCTGAAATCCATTCTGCACACCTTGTTAGCTCTACTGGCATCATGCCATTTCCCTTGCCCAGGTGTCTGTGGTGGCTCTCAAATGCCTACAAAAATAAAAAAGATTTTAAAAAGAGGTTGAGAAGTTAGAGGGTTGATATGTTGTGGGGTTGTTAACCAATGTTATAAAACAACGTGTACTTCTGTTTCATGAGAAACTATTTGTTCTGTAAGCCTTCACCTGAAATACAATAAAAAATAAAAAAGATTTTTCAGCTGGGTTTTAGTACCCTCAACAGTCTGACTGCCACCTGCATTTCCAGCTTGGTTGCTCAAGGAACAGTTCAGTGTGCATGATGCTTCCTGAATAGGCCATTGTCTTCTTTCACTCCATACCCATTTCAGCTTGTGTGCCTTTGCCTGAAAGCCTCATCCTGCTCTCTATCAAGCTAGGTTCTACACATTCTTCAAGAACTAACTGGAGTCTCCCTTCTTGAAGACTCCAGCACCCACTCTACCCTTTTTTCCCCTCATCGCTTGAGCACTTCTTGTCTCTACCACTCAGTTAAGCACTTAAATGCTCTGTCTGTTGTGTGGCTCTTTATCTAGACTGTAAGCTCCATGAGAGCACAGACCAGTCTGCCTTTGTAACTTTAATGGTGCCTAGCACTGTACTGGGCACATCATAGGCACTTCAATAAACATTTGTGTATAAGTCGATACATGCATATAATGTGTTAAAGCCACCTTATTTTTAAAGCTGTATCAAGCATTGATTCTACTAGAATATGGCTTGGAGATAAAGTAGGATTATGCTCTGTTTAAAAAGGTTTGCAAAAATTTTCCATGAATATCATTTCCTCAAATGTTATTCCAATTAAGATTATAATCTATGAGAGTGAAGAACTCTAATTTATAGAGTTAAACCTGTTTCTTGTTTTTGCTGCCATATGTATCACAGGACTTTAGTATGAAAAGCGTTGTCTAAGTGCCTTGTGCACAGTAGGTGTTCAGTAAATATGTGCTTAAACTTGCATTTTTTTAAAAAAGAAATTTAATGTTCTTGATTCATTTAGATCCTGATGTAGATCCTGAGAGATGGAAATCATACCCAAAAAAGAGGGCTTTGTGCTCTAGTTTACATTGGTTAAACCTTTGATTCTATTGGACATTATGATTTGTTTGATACTTTCTTTTTTAAACTAGAAGATGTTGATATAACCCTTCTTGGTGTGCTCTCATCACCAGACCCTCTACAGTTTCTCCCTGCCTCTCTGGCCACTCATCCCCCAGTTGGGGACTTAGCTCTGCCCCAGCTGACGTATGTTTATTGAAGTGTCTGATGCTTAGGCCAACATATTGGGACTAGGCACCTACATCAGTTGTGCTGTCATGAGGATAAAAATGTGTACCTGGCACAGTGTAAATATTCTATAAGTGCTATCTATTGTCATTACTATCAATCCCTATTTGGAACTTAACCAGTACCATCTAGAGGCAGGGAGCTGCCTAACCAAAGAGATGTTGGATTTGAAAGGGATTAGCCATTTCTTCCACTAACAGATCTTGGACTTCAGAGTTCCAGAACCACCTGCCTGATCAACAGATGACAAAGAGTTTTCTTTGCTCTGTTACTAAGGAAGCCTTTTTCATTCAAAAGGAAGATAAGGTTTATTGATTGTCTATTATTTGTCAAGCACTGTTTCACTTGTTATCATTTAATCTTTGCAGAAAATCATATTACGGAAAGACAAATAGGCTCAGATAATTTAAGTAAATTCCAAGGTTACCAACCTATTAAACAGCTCAGGAACCAGACCAAATTCTGTCTTAGTTATCTAGTGCCGCTATAACAGAAACATCACAAATGGGTGACTCTAACAAACGGAAATTTATTTTCTCACAGTTTAGGAGGCTAGAAGTCCAAATTCAGGGTGCCATCTCTAGGGGAAGACTTTCTCTCCATCAGCTCTGGAGGAAGATCCTTGTCTCTTTGAGCTTCTGCTCCTGGGCAATCTACATATGGCTTGGCATCTTCTTCCCCCATCTCTGCTTGCTAGCTTGTGTTTAATCTTTTTTATATCTCAAAAGAGATTGACTCAAGATACACTCTGCACTAATCCTGTCTCATTAACATAACAAAGACAACCCATTCCCAAATGGGATTATAACCACAGGCATACACACACACCTGTTGCCATTGAGTCAATTCTAACTCATAGCAACCCTGTAGAACAGAGGAGAAATGCCCCATAGGGTTTCCAAGGAGCTGCTGGTGGATTCGAACTGCTGACCTTTTGGTTAGCAGCCTGAGCTCTTGACCACTGCACCACCAGGGCTCCAACCACAGGCATAAAGGTTAGGATTTACAACACATGTTTTTGGGGAACACAGTTCATAACAGTCCACCCTTTGGCCCCCCCAAATTCATGTCCTTCTACATGCAAAACACATTTACCCCATCACATCATCTCCAAAGTCTTAAATAAACTCCAAGCCAAAATCTATTCTTCTGAATCATCTCAGCCAAATATGAGCAAGACTTTAGGCTTTATTACATCCTAGGGCAGAATTTGTCTTCATCTGTGAACCTGTGAAATCTAGACTACAAGTTATCTGCTTTGGCACAAGCTAGGCACATTTCTATTAAAAATGGGAGAAATTGGAGGGAAAGAAGGGATAACAGGACCAAGCAAGTCCAAACCCCAGCAGAGCAAGTTGCATTAGCTCTCAAGGTTGAAAAATAATCCTCTGTTCTTGGAGACCATCTGGGCAATGGCCTTGCCCTTCATACTCCGGGTGTTGACAACACCTCCAGGTTCTGAGTGGAGACCCCTCAGCCCTG